GAGGGGGGAGGAGGGACGCTGGGCCACAGATCTCCGGGAGCGGAAGGTGGTGCAGCCAGGAAGCCCCTAGGAGGAGGCGGCAGAAAGGCCACGCGGAGACCAGAGGAAGGCGGAGGCCCTGAGCCCGTGCCCAGCGGGTCCTGCAGCCACGGACAGGCTGTGACTGGGAGACACGCCCACTCCCACCCCTTCCCAGCTGCCCGTGGCCCCGGGCCGCGGAGCGTGTGAAGGAGCGCGGGCTTCGGGGCTGATGCCTGGGTCAAACCCGGCTCTGTCACTGCCCGCCCTGTGCCCCGCCAGGCCAGGCCATCTCTCCCTGGCGTCGCCGTGCCCTCCATGGGGTGCAGGGGACAACGGGTCCCTCTTGATCTGCTGAGGCCGGCTGGGAGCGTGCAGACAGGCATACAGTCAGTGCTCAACCAATGCTCCTTCACGCAGCCACTCCACAGGTGTCCGGGGGCCTGTGGTGTCGCCACCTGCCAGCCTGAGGTCAGGGAGACGGGAAGCTGCCTCACCTTCTGCAGTTCTTCAAATTTGGGGTCCTTCCGGGACGTGGGGGGCAGGAATTTCTTCTTTTCCCCTGGAAGCAGAGGCGAGCATGACACGCTGCAGGGCCCTGGTCACCTGGAGAGCTGTCACCGTGGCCACAAGGGGAAGTTGGTCTTGCTGCTTCACACACACCTACGCACACACACAAATGCACTCACACACAGTCACCCACACACACAGATGCACAGGCACCTACAGACACACAGACACACACAAACACATCAACACACACTTGCACACATATGCGCACACACAGATGCACACTCAGATGCACAGGCATATGCACTCACACATACAGACACACACAGACTCAGACACACACTTGCACACACAGCTACCCAGACACATACCTGCGCACACACACACACAGTCATAGACACATACGTACACCAACTACACACAGACACAGACACAGACGCCCCTGAGCATCAAGCACCCAGAGTGGCGGGTTTTCACTCATGCCCGGTCCTCCCCCCGCTTCCTTTGCCCTGTTTTCCCCAAACCCCAAGCTCTCCCCAGGGTGGCCCCCGTGAGCACGGCTCAATCCCAGGCTCTGCGCGTTGTGTGCGGGAACACACACAAACGGCTGCGTGTCTCCGAACTCCCAGTGACCCGGGTGCCTGTCCCATCGGACGGCTGCCTGTCTCCCCGGTGTGCTTTCCCTGTCCCTAAATCGGCCATAGAACAAGAACAAATAGTTTTCTAACCGCGGAGCCTTCCGCTGAGAGCAGCTTTCCCGGCGGTGCTTCCAACCCCAAACCAGCAATGAGCAGAGCCCGCTGTGCACGCAGCTGGCCCGAGACCCTGCACCCGGCCCCAGACCCTGCACCCGGCCCCAGACCCTGCACCCGGCCCGAGACCCTGCACCCGGCCCGAGACCCTGCACCGCACCCGGCCCAGACCCTGCACCCGGCCCCAGACCCTGCACCCAGCCTGAGACCCTGCACCCGGGCACGGTCCCCGTCACTTCCCAGGGGCTCGGTCCCACGTGTGTCTCAATGCTGGACTCACAGGGCCGGGCAAAGCCAGTTCTGCTCTTTCGCTTTAATGATGCCACCTGTTTCTCTGTCATATACAGACAGTCCTCGGGTTATATCGGAGACGTACCTCATTTCCATTTCCTGGTTGTGTCGCCATCTCCCATTTATTTATAAAAAAAATTTTCTGTCATTTCAACGTGTGTACACATGTGTTTTATGTTTTTATTATTTATTTGCCACAAGTAAAGGTCAGGAATTGTTATCTTTCTTTTAAATTCGTGTCCTGTTTCCCTTCATTACCGCTGTGTGTGTGCTCCATGTGGGTGACGTAGGTGCTGATGCAGGTGGGTTCCGACTCACGGCGAAAATTGCGTTACGCCCCGCCGTGGGAACGGATCTCCGACGTCACCGAGGACCTACTGTCATTGTGCTACAGGGACATGAATTCCAGGGAGCCCCTAACGCCCTGGCCTGGGGACTCGGGTGCCTCTCGGGGTGCTCTCGGTCACAGGGAGAGGCCAGCTTGGCGCACCGGCCGTCCCCCTCCTCCTTCTGGCCATCTCCTTGGAGAGAGACGCCGGGGCAGTGACGTCAGGGCCACAAACCCCCACGCTCAGAACACAGACATGCTGATGGGCCCGCCCTGGCTGAGTGGCTCCTAGCCCGCCCCGCCCCCGCCCCCGCCCCTGCCCTA